AAATAAATAAATAAATAAAATAATAATAATAATGATGAAGAATTTAAAAAAAAAAAAAAGAACATACAATGCCTGGCATGCTCGTGACTGGCCAAAGTTGGCTCCTTAGGCCGATGCCTGTGATCTGCAGCTCTGCCCCGGCCAGTAGAACCAGCAAGGACCCCACTTCCACACATGTACCCCCCACACACCCCAGCTCGAATATCCCCAGAGGCCTCCAGTAAACCTGAGGCCCCGTCTGCCTGGTTGGCTTTGGCTGGTGCGATTGCAGCTCTGCCTGGGGAGGCGGCGCCCGGTGGGCACTTTATTGGAGTTGCGAGGCCTGCCTAGAGCGCCATGCAGCTCTGGGTGTCTGGGCTGTGGAAGTGGCTGTAGTCAGTGGGTGTCTTACCTGAGGATGGAGCAGGCGCTGAAGGAGGGCCGGCGTGTACCCACGTGGTGCTAACGCACCCACCGAGCCTGGGCGAGGCCAGAGCAACAAGGCCCCAGTAACGCGCCAGGGAGCTGGGGCACAGGCATCCAGTGGCGTTTTCCTGTCATTCAGTTGTCCTTGACAAGACGAGCGACTTCTGACATGGGCCGACCCAAGGCCATTTGCTGAAGCACAGGCCGGGCCCAGGGGGTTCCCGCCCCCAGCTAGTTCCGGTGTTAGGAGCAGAGCTCCCGGGCTGCACTGTGGGGGTTCGAGTGGCGGGGGGGGGACCCAAATGCCATGTGTCCTGGACAAGTGATTTCTCTCTGGGCCTCAGTCTGCTCCCCTGTAAAATGGGGCTGAGGATGGCTCCTCCCTCAGAGAGCCGTGAGGGTTGAGTTAGTCCTGCCCTGGACACAGGCTGTCGAGCAGGAAATGAGCGGTGGCCGTGGCAGCTCCTGTGGCCACGCGATGCCGAGTGGTGCTGCCCCACGTGGCTGGCCCTGGCTGACTCCTGGCACCTGCAGAGGGGCTGGGGCACAGTCTTTCCCGGCCCCGCTCCCCCCCTGCGAGGGCCTACGCTCGTGGGGGGTTGTGCCCTGGTGGCAGCTGTCTGGTTCCTGCCCCCCCCCATTCGCCTGTCCGCTCCCAGTCCTGTCCTAATTGTTTCCATAGCAACTGGCGGAGTCAGAGGAGTCAGACAGAAATGCTCGCCTGGAGGGACAGGCGAGGCCGAGAGGCGCTGTCTGTGGCCTGCTCTGGGGTATCTGCAGGCTCTAGCTACTCTGCCCCACTCTGTGTGCAATGGCGTGTGGAGGGTACTCTCACCCCCTTGCTGCCTACTGCATTCCCCACGGGCAGCTGCGAGGTCCCCCAGGGCCGCGGGCTCCACTCCGCGTCTGTGGGCTTCTGTGAGGCCAGGAGGGCAGTGCCCTGTGCAGCAGCAGTCTGCCCCCCCCCACCCCTTCTCCCTCGCTACCACGTGCCCGCACCGCAGGGACGAGGAGGGAGGGCTCACACAGGCCAGGAGCCGCC